GCAGTATTCCAATGACCGAACTATAATCCCCCATCCAATAACTATTTATTATCAAAATATATATTTATGAAAATTAAAGAATAATTTTTTTTGAATAGATTCAAATTTGTAGTTTTGGAATGATTAGTAATAATGACAGAGAACTTATAAATTACGGTTAAATTGCAATACCCAAAGGAGCAAGGAGTTTAACTGATGAATATAAAAAGAATGAGAGATTATTGTGTTCAAAATTATCTAAAAGCAAAATTTTCAAATTGAGCATCTGAAAATAATGAAATTGACAATTTCATTTCATATAAGTAAATATACATTTATAACTTTTTTTCAACAACAATATATTGCTAAATTTCTTTATTGGGAGCTTTTCGTCCTAAATATTAACGAAAAATATTTTCACTCAATATATTAACCGAATGTAAATCTCGTCCTTTTTTGTTAGGAAGTAACTTCGTCCAAAAATTCTTAGATCTAATGGTTAGGGTATCAATTCTTTAATGTTATGAGAGGTTAGAATATTTTGGAAACTTGATTTTTCTTCCACGGATACCCAATATATTATCAAATCGAATCCGCCAAAAGTGAAAGAAACCCGAATATCAGTAAATGAGAATTATTAATTTATCAACACTTTGCAAAGGGATGTTATATACATTAACCTTATTAAACCAATTCAATAAACATTTTTAAAATTTTGACTTCTATCATGAAAGCATTAATCACAAATATAATGATTATTATATAATAAAGTGACGCGCTCTGCCACTCCCATGTATTTCATGGGGGGAATAAGAGCAGAGATTCCCAACAATCATATTTAAAATTATAAAAACTTATAAATTTTATAACCAAAAGGATAACATTATTATAAACGGTTCATTAACTTGTTTCTAAATAGAAACAATTAGTGACTTAGCGTTTCTTAAAAGAATATAAAAAGATTTAATTAAGTTTCGAAGTGAAGCGAAACTTCGAAACTTACTCAAGGAGCTGATCCAAAAATCGAAGACAATACCTACAAAATAGACAAAAGAAGAAACGGTTAGTTTCTTCAAAACAAAATTAAAAACTTTAAAAAAAGTTTCAAACGAAACATTTTGTAACTTACCGATCCTATCATCTGGGATCCATGAAGCTCAATCTACCGATACCTGCAAAAAAAGAAAAAAAAAATTTAAAAAATAAAAAAATTATAAGGTTTAAACTTACCGATTCATTCCAAAATGCCAAATTGACGAGCTACACCAAGGTACTGTCCTGCAAAATGAGAAGAGGTGCCAAGAGATTCCCAAGAGCCGACCTACAAAAAGGAAGTCCAAGTTCGATATCTAAAGCGGGACGGATTTGGCTGGAATTACGGCATTAAGAAATTATATATGTGACAAATAACTTTTGTGACAAATAGGTTTGATAATTAATTCTCGGGATGAAAAATAACTTTTGTGCAACCACTGTGCAACCTTATAAAAATAGAATTTGACTAATCATTGTGGGCTTATTAATCAAATTAAACCGATGTGTCGCGAGATTTACCGTATTTTTTGTATACAGTGTCGCCGTATTGCTGGTATTACCGGTATCGTTTATTCGTTTACCCGTCGTCATTATTATTAATAAGGATTCAAAATAATAAAAAATGAGTTTAACTGGGAAAAAAGAGGTTAATATCATTCTTAAAATGGGGAAATGATACAATGTATGTCTATTGAAACGATTATTACAAATACTTAGTTATAATCTTGAGTCAACCGTATTATATAAAATTGATTACTTATATAATTTTCTATGAAAAATATAAATAAGATGAAAATATGTAAGAACAAAAAATGCCAAAAGTCTAGTTTCAAAGAATGTCTTAATTAAGAAACTTGCCGTTTTTCACGGTTTCGAACATAATTTTTCTAAGGTTTAACGATTAAACAATTATATACATAATATAATTCTTTACATTTATAATAATTTGCCAATTTCGTATAATTCTTCAGAATTAAGTTGAACTTTATAGCTGCAATTAAGTTATTTTTACTATGAATATACTCTTCTAAGATGAGTTTTACTCAAAATCCATAATTAACGATAAGAAAAAATTATGAACTAGAAAATAATACAAAAAAAAAAAAAATATGCAAAAAAAAAAAAATTTAAATAGCACTTATAGAGGCCGCATCGAAGTGGACTATAAAACTACATTTCGAGAGCCATATATATTCAACCTTACAAAAGTATGTATTGATAATATTTCATATATTGTATATATGTTATATTTGTTTAATTACTTTAGTTGCTAAAGTAGGATTAGCTTTAATATGCACGTCGAAGAGGAAGGTGTATAAACAAGGTATTCAGTAATTTACTGTATATATTCCAATTGAAAAAAAAAATAATTTCAATACTTGCGTTTCAGAATTCACAACGATGTTTATGATAAAGATCGATATAATCTACTCTCAATCTTTTTAAAGAAATCCACGTTTAACAAACACATTCAGAAACACTTATTACAATTGTATATTTATATTACATTTGAATTTCGAATTATACCAAAATTTGTACAAATAAACACTTCATGACGGTCTTTAAGAATTTTTTGAAAGAATTTCGTTCGCTCCTTTTCCATAAACATATAAAAAGTTATAAGGGATGTTCTAATTTCATATTAGAAAAACTTTTAGATATCAATGCTTTGTTGGAAATTATTAGAACACTGCAATTGACGCTATAGGGTGTCAATTAATAATTAGAAGTTAAATAATTTATATGAAAATGTTTTATTAACATAATGTAATCATTAAATTGAGGATTTTGTTGGAAAATCTTGGCGCTGACGCTAGATTGCGCGCTAATAACAAAATATTGTTTATACCTTCGAAATAGTAACTAACTAATATAAGATAACGAAAAAATATAATAAATTTGAAAAGACAAAATCTAATTATGACGCTTGTTTACAAGTTTTGATAGCCTTGGCAACAGGTCGAGGAGTAAAACAAAATTTATCATTATCTAACTTTCCAAAAATCTTCCTTACTTTAATAATAAATCACTAATCTTTCATAAAATTATTAAATAATTAATTATTAATAAAGTTATCATATTCAAAAAAAAATAGTTTATGATAAGAAGCGTTAATTGGTTCAATTTCATGTTGTATCCAGCATTATGACTATTTGTTGAGTGAAAGTACCCAGATAGGATTGATTTGATACTTTTGCCAAGACTTATGACCTTATTAGTCCGAAGTGTATACGAAGATACGAAGGACTAATTCTACACAATGTCCGTGTAATTCCCAATTATTCTGCTCATCCCAGGAACTGAACCTATGTTCTTGAGATAACAGTTTCTGACTGTTTAGTTGTTTGTAATAATAAATTAAGATCGACTAGTCTAAACTCAGAATGATATTAAATTGATCAACAAAGACTTACTCTAAGCATAATTTTAAACATAACTAGGATATTATTTACTATATTTGGTAAATAAATTAAGGGTTCAAAAAAAAAAAAAACCTTAACCGATTAATAATCGATTAACCAACATAACAATCGATTAATTATTTCGGAAAATTACCAAAAAAGCTTTTAACCAATTAAGAACCGATTAACCGAGGACCTTAACCGATTAATTAATCGCGCAAATCGTATCAATTTGTTTTTATATTTAGTTGTAGGTCATATTTATTGTCCGGAACGAAGCGAAGGACAATATATGTCTACGCACTATGAAAAAAAAAATTCGATCACGTGAATTTCTCTGTCCGCAACGTGATCGCCACCCAATGAAATCGCAATTTTAGTTTTTCGCTCAATGGTTCCCGTTTCCTAGTTAACCTTATTATTAAAAATTAACAAAAATTGTTATGGAGTACACGTGACCGAAATTTTACATCTCTAGGCCGCATTAAATAATTTGACCAGAATTATGATTAAAGATAAATAAACTTTAAGAATACATAATAAAGTGTTATTTTTGGAAGAATTTTGGTTAACAGATTAAATTGTTTTGAATAATTATAATAATTATAATAAAGGTCATATGCAAACAATGTATTTTTAATGAAAAGTCAAAAGTCATGAGAAAAAAAGCGTATGTACGTAAGGCGTTTACCACAAAATTCCGGAAAACCACAATATCAACAGTCTACAATTCCAAATTCCGGTTGAAACAAAATCCCGAAAGTCCACAAATACTTGCAGTTAAGGGGGGGGTGTACGAAAATCATTTTTGATATAAATCACGCGGCAAATTTTTTTTGTGTAACCAAAACACCATAAACACAAATTATTATAATTTCTGCAGAAATTATATGTATTATACATAATTTTATTTAACAAAATAGAGCCAAGTTTGCATGTTAGCACTAGCTTGTATACCCGGTACCACACCCTTTATAATAATATTGCTAGATAAAACTTTACTACTTTCAATTGGTTTTCGCAATATAATATCTTCTTGAACTAAACCACGAACAACTAAATCAGTTAAAGCAAAATGAACTAAATCTTTAGTTTTCAACACCTTTCTTTTTTCAGTTGGATATACGGGCAGAGTATTCCAATTTTTTTGTTTTATTTTTGCGGTTTTACCACCTCTAAATATATCTACCACATCATCTGGACCAATTTGTTCACCCATCTGCGTAAGATATTCTACTACTTCTATCAACTTTATTATTTCTTCTTTACCATCGAGTAGTTTTGGCTTATCAGCAATTCGATTAATACAATTATCACATATTTCACATGTAGGTGGCTTTTGTTCATTTGGCCATGCTTGATATCGCCAAATTAGCTGTTGACGACATTCATATTGTGAGTTACAATAGTAGAAGACCTCAAATATTTTTTTAGTAGCTCGTTCAAGTTTATTGATCAATCTTTGTTCGATATTTGCGATAATAGATGCACTATTGATACAGTATTTCAATCAGATAAATTAGTCATTTTTTTTTTTATCAAATATATATTTCTTTATTATTAATATATAAATGTAAAAAATATTCACGTTTCTCGGTACTCTGCTATTATAGAGTAATTTGTACGAATATCCTTTTTACCATAAAAAATAAAATGAGTTGCTGTATTTCCATCACGTCCTGCACGTCCTGCTTCTTGAATAAGACTAGCTATAAATGTGTAAATAATATTAAAATATTATAAAAAAATAAAAAAATTAGTTTATTATATATACATACTCATACTCATTGGTACTTCCACATGAATTACCACTCGTACATTACTTGAGTTTATCCCCATTCCAAACGCAGATGTTGCAATCATTATTTGCGTATAATTAGTTTTCCAATTATTCATTGCTGTTTCTCTTTCATTATCACATAAACCACCATGGAAATAATTTATTGATATATTGTTCAAGCTTTCTTGTAACTTATTGTATAAATATTCACAACTTGAATGTGTTGCACAATATATAATAATGCGTCCAAGTAAATTGGCATTTACAATACTTATAATTTCAGTAATATATTGATCCCGGATTTCTTTTCTCTCCTTCACATTGAAAATTATTTCTGATCGGTGACTTGTAGAACCACGGATTAACGCAAAATTATTCTCTTCAATTATCAAGTTTTTACAAATTTCATTTACTTCCATTCGTGTACATGTTGCTGTAAGTAACATAATTGGTGCCATTTTCCAACGCTGCTTTAACATTCCAAGTTGACCCCAAGCTTCTCTGTAATAATAAAATAATATTGTTAATATTCAGAAATTAATCATTTTCCATACTAATGCCTAGTATTATCGCATTACATAAAATCCTGATATGCTAAAATACAATGTGCTTCGTCAATTATAAAACGGACTTTTTTTTGTTCATAAAGTTGTGTAATAAATTTACAGAATCCTCCATTAGATGTTAATTTTTCAGGCGTAATAAACAGTATCTTTATCAATCCACATGCTATTTCTTCAAAAATCTTTTCTTGGATACTTGCTCCTTGTGCTAAATTGGCATATATGGTAGCACATGGAATACCGGCACTTATGAGTTCTCGCTAAATATAAAAAAAACTATTAGGTATTCAAAATACAATACAGTAATTATAACTAAATCTAACCTTTTGATCATCCATAAGTGCTTTAAGAGGACTAAAAACAATAGTTAAACCTTCAAAACAAATAGCTGACAAGGCATAACATAAAGTTTTACCTCCGCCAGTCTTCATAGATACAAATGTATCCTTACCACCTAAATAAGTAATAATTGCTTCCATCTGTCCATCTCGAAAATTATCAAATCCAAAAATCTTTTTTGCAGCAAGTGAGATTAGTGTATCTATTTTAAGTGGCTCCGGTAGTTGTCCTTTTGGTATAAATTTATCATTAATAATTCGTCCCCATAAACCTGCATCTACATAAAATGAACATAATCCACACAAGCCACGTGCACTCTTCTTCGCAAATGCATGACATGCAACACATTTTACTATTACATCAAAATCTCTTAAAATATCACCAAATGATGGCCAAAATATGTCTTTGCGAATTTGTTCAGGTGTTTTGCTTTTATAAGACACTAATTCCTATAATAAATATTTTAAATAAATACTTTGTCATATATTTAAAAGATATAACATACAATACATACCTTATCAAAATCAAATCCAGCAAGTTCCTTTCTATCATTGGCAAATTTTTCTTTTCTTGCTTCATTTCGTTGTTGAATTGTACTACGATTTTTAAGAACATTTTGAGATCTTTCCTTAACAAAGTTCAGTATATTACAAATGTCAGAATATGAAAAATCTTTTTCAGTTGCTGCTGCACGAACTTTAGAAATCATAACATCTAATCCATCATTTTGGTCAAGAACTGCCAACGCATGCCGAGTACTATAAGAGGCCCAATAATCAATTCGTTTATCCAAGTACTTAAGAATTTTTCTGTTGAACGTTTCATTATGTGAAGTGCGAAATGTAGTTACAAGTCCTTGGCCAGATGGTATACGAAAAATTGTAGTAATAAAACTTCGAAAATTCTCAATTTCGGCTTGCGTATAATTTTTTAAAGTTGGGTTCTGCAGTTGTAATTCAGGATTATCTTTTATCCAGCAAACGTCATCCCAACATAAACTGTGATCATCAAGTAAATGCCGAATTAGACCTTCCACTTGTACATGTCGCGTTTCCTCTTCAGTTGGCGCACTATTCTGGTTAAGTTTATTCTTAAGGCCAGCACTAAATATGCAAGAATTGAAATATCGCATAATATGTTGTTCAAAGGGATGCCAACGTGAATATTGCTTTTTTACTGTTAATAAAAAATAAATTTATTAGCTGTGAGATAATAAAAATAATTTATAAAAATAATCAACTTACGTAGATTCTTTCGAATATTTTTGCTGACATGTTTCAGATCAGCAAATATGCGACTTACTGCAGGGATGCATGCTAAAGTTCTATTAGTTTCTAGATCACCATCTACACATACATGTAAGGTAAAGTCAGTTTGTTCTAATATAGGCATTATGTCATTGAGTAATGCAAGTAAGATTGCGTGCTCCATTTTTCTTGATGTTCCATCAAAATTTCCTTTATAAATTATTGCTGAAGAATCATTTTCAGATTTACGTATTACACGAGAATTTTCCACTGTATAAAATCCAATTACGGGCTGGTAATTATACCCTAATAAAACAAATGATAATTTAATAACTATTCTAATAAAAAAACAGTTCTTATGTACCAGGAAGGTCACCCAAGTATAAGAATTCTCCGCTAGCTTGGTGTGCATTACGAGAATGTGACCATGAACAATCGAAACCTATAGGTAGCATTTTTTCTTGACCTGGCAGATGAGTCAATTCCAAGTGATCTAAAATCTCACGTAGTAGCATTTCACTACTAAATTTTGCACTATCAATGATAGGCTTGTACATACGAGCTTGATAGTTGTAAAAAGATTTTTTGCTACATTGGTTAGTTATTCCAATTGTAGCCAATGCTGTTTGAATTGAATTTAGATGTATTCCTCCAGCAAGCGCAGCTCCTGTAACTAAATGAGAATACTTCACTCCTGAATCCTCATTTGAATATTGTGTTATTATTTCGCAAAGAAGACATGTAATGACACAAGATATATTAAACCCAGACACTTTGGTGTAAAATGTTCAATTTGATACAATAAGATCATGACAATTAGGGCAAGGTAATGAAAGAAGAATAGAAAGGTATTGAGAGGTACTTATGAAAATAACCGATCCCAATTTTTTTTCATCTATTTCCTTTTCTACCAACTTTTGAATTTCTGCACTATTGAGCGTGGTTATATCAGTTTCACTGGCATTTCCAGCTTCATTATTTATTGAAGTAACCTTTTCTTTTAATTTTTTAATTGTCCTATTTTGGGAATAAATTGTTTGTTTATATTCTAAATTTTTTAACATTGAAACTTGTGTCATTTTAGGGGGTAATACTTTTCCATCGGATTCAACCTGAATTCCAAAAAGAATATTTTGGCTATTACCATTACTATCATTTTCACATAAAAAATTATCAATTTCCTCTTGTCCTCGTTTCAAACTACGAAGTAATGTTTCTTCTTTTTTCTTTGCACTATTTCGCAAATTTTCTAAAGACTCACGTTGAAAAATACTTGGATAAAGCAAAGGAAACTTTTCATGAACAAGTTTTTGAAGTTTATAAATTATTTGAGGATTGTAAAGACCAAGAATTGTTCGAATGGTAGTATTTGATTCAAGACCATATTGTTTTAACATACAATGGAAGGCAAGTCGTTCAACGCCTTGAGCCTTTTTATCAGTATATGAAAAATCAGAACCGAACTCCTCCCAAAAGAAAAGTAATTGATTATTACTTTCTAGAATTGATAATCTAAACCTTTTTTTGCCAGCAGTGGTGTAAACCACATATCCAGGTAATAATGGTATTAATGATTGTTCTGCTTCTTGATGGCGAAAAAAAATATAACCAGCATTATGATTTTGATCTTCAGCAATAGAGATATCTTTTATGGTGAAATTGAACGCTTTTGCTTCATTGTGTAAATTTAAAATACGAAGACCAGCAGAATAGTCAATAACCATCCAACTACCATTTGGCCGTTGTATAGCATATCGATTGGCAGGGTCTTGGGCAACTAGCATCGTATACCAGCTATAAGAAGTGTTAGAAGGCATTATATCTAATAATTGAAAGCATAAAATATAATAAAATATGCATTAAATATTAATATTACTAGTTAAGGAGGTATTTATTTGTAAATTGGTTGTAGCCTATGTATATATTAACAAAATCAAAGTATTATCATGCAAATAATATATTTCTTCACATTTTTTATTAATATTATTTCTTTCATTCGAAAAAACTCAGCTCATTCGAGAGTTACAAAGTTTTATTTCTATGATTTTAAACATAAATTAATTAAATAACATAAAAATATCTCACAACAAATAAAACTATAAGTCTTTGAGAAGAGAACGCAAAAAATTTTTTTGTGATACGTTTGGTTCTCAAAAAGATTTAGTTTTATCAAAAATCACGTTACTTTTTAGATGGCGATTTACTAATTAAAATGATCGACATACACCCTACCCTTAAAAATCTTGACAGTCAAAATCCAATTAAAAATTATAAATTCCGGATTAAAAATTTTTACAGCTGATTTCATAATATACTAGTCACATACTCGGTACACTCGGTAAAACTCGGTAAAGTACAGAATAAGGTAAAAACTATATTATTTGGCATGAACTAAATATAATATATACCGTTGTTCGTGACGAATAACGATTTATTAACATCATCAATTTTAAAAAAAGGTGATCAGTTTCGTTAAATTTATTTATTATATATTGTAAGAAAAATTTCTTAATTATCATAATAAATCGACAAAATAACAAATCTCATTTCCAAAAAATTTCTTAAAAAAATGAAAGTCCGCCAGTATAAATAAAATATTCTACATTTGATATTCGTAGTATTAAAATTGATTTCAGATGAATGAATAGTGTTTAATATCAATAGATAAAGATGACGAAAGAAATGTGTATATTATGAAGAAAATAGAAAACTAGATCAAATTCTATATTAAAATGCGGATACTTAGCCCCCATCCATTTCCAAACGTATTGTACTTTTGAATCCAAATACGGAAATACTCTGGCACCTCCATCCAAATATGTTCATTTCATATATCACCCTAGTTTTTTTTTTGAATCGGGACGTTAGAAAACTGTCCACACATTTATATCTCCCTTTATTATTTAAATTTGTATTCTCAACATGTCAGATTATACAGTAATAAAGTATGATTATATATAAGTTTGATAGTTAATGACATTTCGTAAAATTTACAGTCTGTAATATTACAGTCAAAAATATTTTGCATATTTTACGGTTTTGCAAATGGTTACGATTTGTAAGTTTTATGATAATACTACAACTTTTTGATTCGCTTGAATTTTTTTATTGGATCATTTATAACAGTTTGATATTATCATTTCATCTAGTTGATTAAATCTCTTTTTTAGAATTGACTTTACAATGAATTATTATTAATCTTGGCTAATAGAGAAAGAGTCCATTAAAAGTAATAAATAAAATATCAGATGTATTATTAGAAAATAAAATTGCGAAAGAAATTAAGTTGTTTAAAAATTTATTATTCATTTTATACTAACAGCTAATATTAATATTTATATATATAATATTAAAAATAAAGTTAAATCTAATCTCTCCTCTCCCGAAATCTTTAGGGAAGTTCGACCCATTATCTAATACCGTTGCCTCTTGCATCACTGACATCTTGCAGCACCTCTAGTATGTCTTACTTAGCATAATTATTTTGAGTCCCTTCACTTTCAAGCTCATTGGCAGACTTCTTAAATTATCAGCGAACGGTCTTTCTCAGTAAAAGTTGTCATGGTTGGATGATTTTAACACAAAAATTTTAAGCTTTTCTATTTTACTACGGTATGCAACAATAGTGGGAAGGAGTCAATAGAAATCAAATTTTGGTTTATTGGTTTACTAATCGTATACAAAACTAAAATTCTGGATTTTCTCAATTCTTTGAACATAATGAATATATGTGTAATTTCGCTTTACAAAATTATTTTTATTCTATTAGTTATATGAAAATTATGGAGGTATGTTGATATTGTATACAGTGACACCTCTATAAGTGCACCCTCTATAAGTGCACGCACTATATAAATTCTCTTTAAGTGCACGGTGGGCCTGGTCCCAACTTATAAGAGCTCTTAATATTTTACTCTCTATAAATGCACACCCTCTCTAAGTGCACATTCTACTATTTTTTTATTATGGTCCCAAGGAGGGTGCACTTAGAGAGGTGTCACTGTAATTATAATATTATTTTTACTTCGGGTATATTGTCATTGCTATTCATTGATTTTTAAAGATTTATTAAATTAAGTAGAAATATTAAATTCTCAAATTTCATGTATGAATGAAAATAATAAACAAATAATGGAAAAAAAGGATAATAATTTTAAAACTGCAAAGAAGATAGATTTATTGGATTTTTTTTTATAATTTTTTTTTATTACAATTTATTTTGAAAAGTCACGTGAAATAAACAAAATGCAATTAATGAATGTTATGCGTGATGATGATCAACCTTGAAGGGGTTATTTGATTGTGAGCTTAATAAAAATAAATTTAGCACAATATTCATCTACTGTATAAGTAATATTTATTATAAAAGCAATATAAGTGATATTTAATCTATATGATGCAATGTGTCTATGATATTTGTGCAATAATGTTTAACTTAGTTCTACTTAGTCTGAAAAATATCACACCGTTAAAAACAGCACGATCCTATTTGGCTGCATAATAATTAATATTAGTTACTTGAATGCTAAAGTGATAATATCCCGAAAAAAAAAATCTCTAAAAATAATTTAATTTTTATTTTCATTGCGCGATGAATATTTTTACAAAATGTTCATCGATACCATGTTAATCACTACCATTTTTCGGAGAAATTTTCTCGTCCTCGTCATCGTAATAATCATCGTCGTCATGAAATTTGGTGAAATGGAATTCGGCGAAATGGATGATTCGGTGAACTTCAAATTTAGCTTTTCGGCGAAATGTCCCTTCGGTGAAAATCTCTTCGGCGAAACAATTTTATTAGTAAAAATGAGTATAATATATATAATAAAATTAGTTGGTTGTTAATTTTTTTTATATTTACAGTACTGTATCGCAGTCGCAATATAGTAAGTAATATAATCAATAAAACATTCTTTTTTTGGTTTTAGTAGATAAAATTGCAACATATTAATTATCTGTGACCAACAACTGACCTGTATATATTAAAATTTTTTTTAAAGTTCAACTTTTATTTTATTCCTAAAAAAGAAATGATGTCCTCCATCTAAGCTTTAAAGACACATAATCTCTGGAATGTTAATACAAGCATAGTAGCGTACATGAATTTACGGTAGCTGCAATATAGTAATATAATCGTGAAAAATATTTTTTGTTTTAGTAAATAGAATATTATTTACACTCATTATCTGTAGGAATCACTTAACTGTATATATTAAAAATTTTTTTTATTATTTAGTTCAATCTTTAAATCGTCTTCATGCAATTGTTTATAAAATTGATCACCACGGTCGGAGTTAAAACTCCGGTGGAAAAAATGATTTTTGGGTAACAACCATCTAAACCAGATTTATCTAGGGTCACTTGGAAAATTTCTAGTTCATAACGATATCTTTGACATAATTTTTACATTCATTATCTGTTGTTCCAACTGCTGACCTGACCTGTATATATTAAAATTTTTTTTATAGTATAAGGTTTAATGCTTCAATTGACTTTTACTTTAACCCAAAATCAGAAATGACGCCCAAAAGAATTCCCTAGAATCTCTAAAGATCATTAAGATTTAAAAGGTTTATTTAATCGTGTTTGGAAAGTTTCTAGTTCATCTTTTGTCACGTCAAACATGTTATTCATGAATTTGCGGTAAATGGTCGGCATTGGTTGCCGAAATATAAACAGTAATACAATTTTGAGAAACAATATGCACAAAAAAAACCGTACTCAAAAAAAAAATTTTTTTTTTTATTCATTCATTCAGGAAAAAAAAAAAAAATATTTTATTTATTCATTTATTTTTATTCATTTAAAAATTTTTTTATTATTTGTCTATTTTAAAAATTTTTTATAAATACGGTATTTTCCCCGTTAATTTTTTTATATACCATAAATACCATCCATAAATTGCAAATTTTTTGATGTACCGTATTTAAAAATTAATTAGAATTATTTCTTCTTTCGAAAGTTATACCAAGCATATTCATGAATTTCAATAGTTAATGACAGCTTCTCTTTTGAAGTTAATAATCTCTTCGCGTTTTGGATTATAACTATACTAATTATTGTCGCAAAATATCGCAAATGTCACGGGAACAGACGGACATAATGCATAATGAGCTAGCAGATTTTAAACGTGAAAATAATGTGACCATTTGATATAACAGCTATCTTCATATCAATTTAAAAGAAAGGATAGGTATGCAAAAAGAAGTTATATGTCGTCATGCAATCTTAATTAATACAATTTCAATAAAATGCAAGGAGAAGTTTCATGTAACCAAAACAAACATCTAAAATAATGATAATCTCAATAAAATCAATGAATAAATGATATCAAAATAGTAATATATGAAAGAACTATGAAATAGGGGTTCACTGAGTAATTTCTCTGAGTCATAATTTCAACATACGGTACATACAGTGTAACCATAGTACAGACACAGCCTTATAACAGAGTTTTATGGAAGTTTTTATTCAAAGATTATGTAATAATATTATTAATAGTAATAATAATAATAATAGTAATACCATTCTAGTAGTATTCAATCAAATTTTTTAACGGATAATTGGTTTATAATATTTATAACAGATATAGTACATAATGAAACTTTTTATAGTTATAAACTTTAATCGATTCCAAAAATAAGTATTTACTTTATTTATCGAGATACATTTACATAGTATAGTATGTTATGTTAAATCTTAATTTTCACGTTTCAGTTACAAAAAAAAACATGAAATTTCGCTTAAATATTTCTTATATAAAAAATTATGTTCTATTACTAAGTATTTATACTCTTAAATTTCTAAAAATCATATTGTAACTGGAATAATCCCAATCTTATTCTAATTTTAAGACTTTTGGTTTCATTTAACTCTATTTAATCTAAGAAAATCATTGATCAAGTATAATCAGGTATCTTTATGATCATCGCAGGACATGGTATTGTTTGACTATCAATTATTGAAACCGTTTGTCGCATTGCTTTCGATATTTCCTTGAAAAGAAATCGTGTTTCCATCAGAATCTGATCTCATTTCTCCCTCAGGAATGTAAAGAAATGACCTCAAATTTAGCTCGAGATTTAATTTTTGTTGCGAAGTTAATTTATGTTTTCTTTTCAGATCATTCACATCAAAATCAATTCCATAAATTTTCTCGTTCAATATACTTAATATCGAAGAAGATGGTAAAAATTTACATCTAACGTGTTTTATATCATTTGAAATCTGGTAAAAAAATTCGTAATCGCAATCGTCATCGTCACTTTGATGATAATCTTGTAAAATTACGTGATAAATGCTATAATCATTCAGTGGTCGATAGAATAATCCATTATTCAAATGCAAGCCTTGTTTTGGTAAATTATTCGGGAAGTAGCTGGTAATGATAAATAGATAAATTAATTATGTATCAAATAAAATGTTAAGGCATTAATTATTATTAATAAAATTAATGATTTAAAGGACACAAACCTTCTTAATAAAAGTTTTCCTTGTAGAAAAGGAAGAACGTTCTTTAAGCTTTGTTCAAGGTTTAATTTTTGATTCCAAGTTAATGTATATTTATACTTTAATTCATTTACATCGAAATCAATTCCGTAAATTTCCTTATTCAATATATGCATAATCAAAGAATGCGGTAATAATTTACATGTAACATAATAACTAGTATATAAACTCTGCTGGTGAAAGAACTCGTAATCGTAATCATCATTATAATTTTCTGAAAGTTGCCAGGTCATTTTGAAAGTTACATGATAAAAATTATTATCATTTGGTGGCTGATAAAATAATCTAAACTCATTCAACTGCAAGTTTTGCATTTGCATCGCTACTAAATCTAAATCAATAAAGTAATATAAGATATTCTATTGGGCAAGCCTGAGAGTCTTTTTTTCCGTTAAACGTTAAACGTATAATAAATTCGTATCTATTTCATTTATTTGTTTTAAAAAAAAAAGAACTATAAAGTCGACAAAAATGATTAAGGGAAGGAAAGTTACGAAAAGATTCTCTTTATACGTGGAAACGTATCACGCGCTAATCAAATAATACAAATGAAAATCAAACTTATGTGTTTGAAAATTCACTCTAACAATGTTTGTATTTATACAACGAACAAAAATAATTTTGTTTTTCATTAACGGTGATGAAATTCCGATTAAAGGTGTAAGATTGAATTGTTTATAAACGACAGGCTACGAAAGAAACCGTCAGAAATAATTATAAATCTTTAAAGTAGTTCGCGTTAAGCAAAGAAAAGAAAAAACACAAACATGAAAGTTTGATACTGTAATGAAAAATAAAAGATTTATTTTAATTTGAATTTGGAACTTTTATTTTTTTTTAAAAAAAAAAAAACCAATAAATAAATTTTTCTTGACCCTTTTAAAAACTTTTTGTATAATTAATTATAAAGTAAAAAATTTTTTTTTTATATAATGTCGATTTTTCCTGAATTTGAAATTGAAAATAAACTCTGGCCAGGATTATATTAACTACTAAGGTGAATTTTATGAATTAGGAAAGTTACGTGTTAAAGGCGATGTGTTACTTGAAATCTATCTTTGGTTAACTTTTTTTTTTTTACTTTGATATCATGCATGGCGTCAACCTTTATCTTTTTTTAGATTGTTATATAATATTTTAATCATGACAAGGTTTCTTGATAATCAAAAGAAAAAAGAAAATATAAATCTCAATACCCTCTCTAATTTGTGACGTGCATATTAACACAAAATTTTGGTAACGTGACTTGACCAATTTTATTGGTCAGATTTAATTTGTACAAAATTTAGAAAATTTCGCGAAACGAAGGAAATCAAGTTAAAATGCTTATAGTCTTTAATTAAAAAAATGCAAATAGTCTATTAAAAAACTTGTTAATTCCACCTTTATACTCCTAAGCTTGTAAAAATTTTTTAATGTACTTATATTTAATACGTTATTAATTTAAAACAATATAAAATATAATAAAATAAAAATAAATTATAAAATAAAAAGAATAATACGCATTTTAAACCGAAATTTCGGGAAAAAACATATTTTATTGCGGACTATTTTATCGATATATTTCCTATTTTTAGATTAGTAGTACAAAGTCACGTTACCGCAAATTTTTTTGCTGATGCTCTTGCTCTTGGGGTAATTTAAAATTAACTGCACCACAATTCAAAATAGATAATAAATATTATTAAGCTAATAAGTTATTTAAAATAAATTAAATTTTAATCATCTTATTAATTACTTTCAGATTATATGATTATATTAATTTTATAAAATAATTTTTGATTTAAAAATTTATAAATTTATAAAGTAAAATTTTACCTTTATAAAATTGATTTGATTGAAAGAACTTTTTATTATTGCTTTAGAAATAAATTTCATATTTTTTTATAGAATGAGATAGAAATCTAAATCTATTCATCATATTATGAATCAATGTAATTAATATATTATTAATAATATTTAAATATTTTATTAATTAAAAAAAAATTCCCAATAGTAAAATTCAATAGAAATATTCAGAGAAATTCTACAGAATTTTTATGTATTATTATCACCGGCGTCACGCCCTTCCTTGTTCCATTTTTCATAAGTATCTGGGGACAGATAGTAACAAAATCCTACTCGTCACGCACTATCCGTCACATGTGCGCCACACTTAATTTCAGTCAAGTTGCGTAATGCCGGCCATATCAGGACATTTTTTGGTAGTCCATGGAGCGTTACTGC